TGAATCATTACAACTTGCAGGAGGTGGTTGTACACACCTTTAATCCCAGCACTCTGGAGGCTGAAGTAGGCAGATCTCTCAGAGTTCAAGGCCAGCCTGGTCTACAAAGTGAGTTACAGGACAGCCAGGACTATTTCACAGACAAGTCCTGTCTTGAAAATAAAAAATAATATAAATAAATAAATAAATAAATAAATAAATAAATAAATAAATTAACCTCAATGTCATTTTATATTTTTGAAGCAGGGTTTGACTGTGTATCTCTTGATTGTCTCTGGTGCTCTATCTTCCTGCCTCAGCCTCATGAACATCTTATTGAATTCCAGTCTCTCTCTCCTTTCTCCCTTCTCCTTCCTTCTTTTCTCCTTCATCCTCTGAGGGCAGGTATGAAACTTATAAATAATTATTTGGGTAGGAATTAGCAAATTATTACGAATTATGTAATCTTCATTCACAAACATGTTACTTTTGAAATAACTTTTGATAAAAATAAAGTGCCTAAATCCTAAAACCTGTCTCAGTAAACATCACCAATGAGTTTTGTTTGTTTGTTTTTTGTATGTATTTGTCTTCTCCACGTGGACACAGGAAATGAGTAAAAGGGAAGACTTCACGAGTGTTTCTCAATATGCACAACAACTAGATAACTTCTACATGTTTACATTGAAGATTATAAATCAAAGTCAAATTTGTATATGCCAGGACATTTATTCTTTAAGAATCAATTGCTACAAACAGAGCATTGACTTCTTGCTGATTCAGAGACAATATAATATTCCCTGAATAAATTTTTTGTTAGTAACAGAGTATACAATTATTGGATTTCTTGTCATATATCACTCAATGCAAACTGATAACTTCAGTAGTGAGAATCTGAGGAGCATTCTTTTTGAAAAAGAGAGCCATATATCCAGCATGCCTAAAACAACATTATAAGTGTGCTAAGATCACTAGAGGTCGTCTATTTGAAGATGAAAGAAATACCATTAAATTTGCTGAAAGTAAAATTGCTATTGATTATGAAGACAGGTTGCATGGTCTATAGTTTGTAATGTTACTGTACAGTATATTGAAGTTTCAAAATAGTATTACTCTTCTTTAAAGATATAGACACAGCTGAATTAGGTGTTGCTTGCTGCAGTGAAGATCAAATGCAAAAAGAATCATATTTCATCAGACCTAGTCAACTCCATGAAAATAAATAGAAATATAAGAGGTATGCAGGCAATGATTCATTTTGATAATCTGGCCCAAGAGAGACACATAGAGACAGCACACAGATCTAAGCTTCTACCAAAAGACAAATAGGACACAGAGGGTGGGAACTGGGATGACAGTATAGCAGAGGTCACATCGATTTTCAGCAGCAGTTTTCACACAGATGAGATAACCCTGGACTCTATTTGGACCATTGTTCATATCCTACCTGTCCCACAAGCAATAAATTTTCTGGTCCTAGAAAAAGGGCAGTAAAGAAGAAGGATTCTACTTATGACTTCTTATGATTAAGTTTCTGGGCTAAGCAAACATGCTTTTCAGATCAAGGTCACATTGCATGTTAAGGTCTGTAATAGCCCAAATCTAGTAGAAGTATATTATGTTTTAGTGTACATGAGTGGAAACTGTCAAACTATTCTTTGGGATTTTTTTTCCTGACTTCAATCGTGTGCTATGAAAAATGACTAAGAAATGCATTGGAAGTGGATTTCAGTCATGAAATAGGCCTTGATGTCTGAATGCCATCGACATTTTGTTCAGAGTCTGAATAAATACACT